CAAAATTTTTGGTTTTTGTTGATTTATTTATTAGATATATTATGGTTGCTATGCTTGGCGCATGCCGTTGCAAAATTCGCAAACAAGTTTACTCAGATATCTTTGTTTTGCTTATGTTTTCGTTAGTGTCATTTTGTTATTTGTTTTGTAGTAAATTGTCAAGAAAATCCAGTTGAATATCTGGTCTATGTATATGTCGCGACAGCAGTAAAGGCCGTTTGGCAGTGCATGCAAAACAATATCTAAACAAAAGACTTAAGAAACGAACGCGTTTTTGCATACGTCAAAAGCGAAACACCCAGCTATTGAAATTTGTTTGTTGGCTATAATAAAAAATGATGGTTTCTTTCAAAATAAGATGCCAACGTTGGAATTTTTAAACACGGTGGAAATGTTTTGTTGTAAACTAAGTTATTAGTAGTGGATACTGTTTATGTAAATTACTTTTGGATGTGAAACAGCTTAGTTGTAAATATTAGCATTGAAATGCATGGCAAGCGTCTGGTACCAGCAATATGTATGTGCGAATGTGGCGCCACTAATTTGAGTAGATGTAAAAAGCGACACTACTACCATATTTTTAATGCGAAAACTCGTATGAATATAAATAACAATACGAATACGAGTACGAATACGAATGCTGATAACAAATTGAATATGAGTATAAATACAAAAATGGATGACAATATCATGCGAAACGAATATAATGTGTAACATTTAAGTCATTTATATCAAAAGAAAAAAGTAAACAGATATACTTAGATACAAAAACAAATAGCGTTTCGAACATTAAGCTAACAGATTGGCAGTGCTTCTTCAGTATTATATTTCTTTTTTTATTTGATAATTAATATTTCTTTACAAATGTCTAGCTCATTATATATATAACACCGCGCGATAGTAAATTTTAAACACAAATATCAATATATTCGCGAAAACATAGTCCAAATATAGTAAAATTGCGTTTTTAGTTTTTCATTCTGACGTCAGTAATCCAAAAATGATTTAAAAAATTCAGTGAAAAGTGCTTAGAGAAAAAGTATGGGCATCAAATTAAAGAGGAAATTCTATAGATTGAAATTTTTGGTACATAGGAGCTGGTAAGTATTGAAAATGTCCTTTTAAAATTTTATCATTGAAATTTCGCAATATTTGTTTTTGAAAAAATTATACGCTATGAACTTATATAAACTCGATAACATCCTTGAGTTCCGTGCTTCTAACTTAATCAGCTTAAAAAATTACCTACTCGTCCTTGTGAATCCAAAAAATATTAATTCTAAAAACATTTTCTCTTGCATTTGGTGCCCATATTTTTATGACAAATACATTACATTTGTTTTTTTTTTAATGAAATTAATCATATCTTTGAAATTACAAAGTTCACTAAAATAAATCCTGGACTCAGAGAGAAAAAACAAAAACGCAACCTTAAATAAAAAAGTAGGTTTCAAAGATGATTCAATAACAAAAGATTTGCTCAGAAAACTGTTTCCGCGCTCCCTCTAGACAGAATCGACTCCCTTAGTATGGCACTGTGTGTGGGTTCGAGTGTGTGTGCAAAGCTTTTATAAGGGAGTTAAGGGAGCGTCAAAACTCTAATGTCGCTTGTGAGCTAACCTTTAATTATGGAATAGGAGAGCTTCTCAAACCATATAGAGACAACCTTTTCGATTTAAGTTGTTGAAAAGTTACGAATATCTAAATCCCGGGATCGTAAAGAGCGAAAAAATTAACATCCCTAGTCACCACACAGAGTCGTGTCAAAAAGCATGTAATTCAAATCCCAATAATGATTTCGAAAAATATTTTGGGAGGGAAGCTGGTAGCACAAGAATACCCAAAGAAAAATTGTTCAGCTTTTGACTTGCTATTGGTTCGAATATAAGCTTTAAAGAGCATTAAAATTCATTGATCTAAATACGGGTTTTTGCAATGTAGAAAGAAAAATATTCAAGAAAGGCATTCCTTAGATGATATTTCGCTCACCAAACTCTATGTGAATTTTGTTTTTAGTTTTTATCCGTATATTGACATATATAGTCATTAAGGCTTTCCTTTCACATAAAACAAATTCAATGAACGCCGCGAATTGTAAGGAAGTTATAAGTAGGCTAGCAGCGGATAAAAACGTCCAGCTATATTAGTTTGCACAACACAAAGGTGTCGAGGGTAACGAGAGAGAGCTGACGAGCTGACCAAGGAGCGAGTTCTATTAAATGCATCATTAGTAACGGATGTACCAATTCCTTTCCAGGCGATCACAAGTTTACAAGATCTGTCCATGTACCGCCAGGCGGATAGGCTCTGGCTCATTTATGTCAGACCTTTATGGTAGGGTACTGAAATTGTTTGTGGAGATTTATCTAAGCTATTTATCTTCGCACTGACAGAGGGAAGTGTGAGCTAGTTGAAAGAGTGCTGTGGCACCTTCAATATAAACTAAAATTATGAAGACGCAATGGCTTGGAAGCATTAAGATATTTATAAGCTGAAACGTGGTATTTTGTAGAGTTGGAAATATTAAAAAACCGGATTTGACTCCCCAGAAAGTTGCATGTTCGCGCAGTGTATCCGTGGAACCAGTGCCGTATTTAGCTTATATGCTCTTTTCGAGGGGCGGACCCCGGCGCCCACGGGGTTTCTCTAGATATTTTTTTTAAGTTGTAAGCATAACTTAAACTTACTGGAAAAAATTACGATTAGATTTTTCCATAAAATCCAAAAATACATGACTTGCAAATTTTAAACCACGATTGAAAGATTTTTTTTTTAACTTTTCACATATGTATATATATATAAATGTGTACAGTGCCGGATATAAGTATGTTTTTGGACATAAAATTTTTCACAATGTAAGCAAAGTTTTTATTCTAATTGAGTAAAAATAATTTTTGAGTTTTATGGACCTTAAAGTTATTTTATCAATAAGTTCGAAATGAAATTTATAAGTGTAATAATATATATGGCATTTATAGTCCATTTCTGTATCGGTGATAAACAATTCTTTACTGACAAATTAAAATTTGTATATATTTTCCGAGAAAACAAAAATTTGTCACTGATACAGAATAGAGCCGCTAGTTTTCTTTTATTTAAAAAAAAAAAGGTTTTAACTAGACTTCGTCGAACGACCCAGATGTATATCTGGCCAAGGACAGTCACTCCAGCAACACTCTCCAAAAACTCTGTGGGGAATTTGTATGTTATTACAACAACAACAACAACAACTAACATATGTGGTTAGTACTATAGGGTTAAATCTAAAAAAAAATGTATGTAATGTGTTTTTCTTTTTTCATTATATTTTTAGATTTTCTTTTATAAATAAAAATAATTTTTTGACAGTTTTCTTTTTTGATTTAGATAATAGGTTTGTTCCACAAGCTACTAGAAATCACTTCGAGTTACACATACGCGTTTCACAAGTACATAAGTTTTAGAGTTTATTTGATATACGCTGACAGTTTGAACTTTGCTCGAGTTTTGTTTTCCTTTTTCTAATAAAATATTTATTTTTTATTGTTTCAAAAAGAAAATTTGGCTTAGTTTTACCTCTGCCGAAAAGCCAGCTTATTAATTTTTTTCACTGAATTGCTTTCTGAAAGGAAAAAATTCATATAGGAGCCCAAAAGCTCAAATACAGGTATTGCAGGCGAAACTCGGTTTGAATACTTTAGTCATCGAATGCCTATGTACATACTTTTAATTTAATTAAAATAATAAATACTAAATACTAAAGAAGACATTATTCTAACCTGGAAAGTATTGCGGTCAAGCTATTGGTAGCTTAAATGCTTTCGACTTAAAGTAGAAAGCAGTGCTTCAAAAAAAGTATTCTAGGCAGAAAGCCGCATTTGCTTTTATGCCTGCAAATCGAGCTGTATGCGCCTATGTGTACGGAATACTAATTAAATGATTCTTTGCTATGTGCTTGTGCCACGAGCAGTATGATTAATTGCCATTAAAATGCGGATAGAAAGAAAAACCCAAGAGAAAAAGAAGTATAATGAAAACTAGTAAGCAAAAATAGCGGTAAGAATGCAGTTTGGTCGACGCTGATCGAGTAGTTACCACCCTCACAACTACATACGTACATACGTATGTACATACACACTCATATGTACGCGCAACTAGCCGGCAGTTCAACGACAAAACTGCGCATGCGTCACTTGCATGCCTAGTACGTATAGTGAATAGACATGGCGCGCATGTATGTATAATTTGGCTGCAACTTCTGTTCGTTGTGCGAAAATGGCCACAAAAGCGAAAAGTCAACATTTGTAGCAAACCGCTTGTAGATTTAAGCCACAATGATGGCTGCTATGAAAACTGCAGAATAGCAAAAGTAGCATAGGTAAAGTGAAACGGCAAAACTACAACCACAACAGTTAAAACGGCACCAGCTGTTGGCTACAAAGCACCAATTAGCTATTAGCCGCTGCTGACGCTTGCGTACAACAATCTCAGTGTTGGCGTCGTCGTCGTCGTCGGCGTCGGCGTCGGTGTCGACAACTTTTCTACACAACTCTCGCACAGCGTACATGTTGTAGTTGTAGATTTTACAACTTACATTTTGCGTCTGCTTTCGCGCCTTATTTCCAAAACAACGAAAATGAAATTTAAGTCTCAGCAATTCATTATGTGAATTTTTATTTTATCTTTATTTTTCTTGCTTGCTTCAACGGCAAACGGCTCATGCTCATGCTTTACAAGAGCGCAAAGGCTTGCACCGCTCTGCAATTGATCATTTTTGAAGACGAAAAAATTACCATCACTCTATTCTCGCCCTCTGCAATAGCAACTGCTGTCTCCGAGAGGATAACTTCGACGTTAACGTAGACAACATCAGCGCCGCTAGCAGAGGCTTTCAACGGCAGCGAAAATTTTTCTTACATTGGCTAGTGGCTGTTATTGACGTGCTTTGTCTCGAGACTTCGGTAGGAGCAAGCGCGAAGGTGGTTGGGTGAATGGCGGGCGCAGACGTCGCGGACGTTGGTGCGCAGCCGTACGCGTGCGCACGCTACACATGGCCCGGTATAAAAAGCGAATGTACGTCAACGTACCACACATAGTCGATACCAGTGGTTCCTTGTCAGACGTTGTGCATATCAACGGTATTTTTGAAAAATCAAGCGAAGCAAAGCGAGAAAGGAAATTCCATTTTCTTACTTAACGGAATATACTCTAAAGATATATAATCCAAAAACGCTTGTAAAAGTAGACAAAAAAGAAATTTCTAATTAACAAAATGAATAAGTTTTTGTTTGTTTTCGTTGCCCTGTTTGGAGCCGGTATGTACAAAAAATGGTTATTTTTATATTAAATCAAGTGATCAGAAATAATAAAAAAAAACAATGATATGGAAAATAAGTATCCAAATACTTAAATTTTCATGAGAAATTGAAGAAAAAGCGGAACAATTGCAAAATAGAGCATAAACATGCGTGTTCAAAATACTATATGTAAAAAATATTTGTTAGTGCTTTAAGTGTTTCGTGCCAAGCAAGGATAATGGACATTTTGGTGACAACCATGTATATGTACTATATGGTTTCAAAAAATGCAAATGTGAAAATATCTACCTTGCAATAAAATGAAATTACGTAAACACGTAAACCTTGCAAAATATTTTGAGTGGTCTCATTAGTTCCTCTCAAACTATGTAGCAGTAGCAAAATTTTCATTGTATACTGGAATATGTTTATGTGCATGCGGCTTATGGGATTTTCGTAAAAAAAAAATAAGACAAAAAATAAAAAAAGTTAACTTTCATGTCAAATTTAATAATTTTCCATTTTCGTTTTTGCCCCTTATAGGGTTAACAAATTGCTGGAAAGTCCGAAACAAAAAATTTTTTTACGTACAAAATTTGCTTAGTAATTTTGATCAGGTTTCCCAGCCAGCTTCAAAATACCAAAATAAGAGATTCACAAAAAAATGTTTTTCATTTGCTTACCATAATGTAAAAGGCTATACATTTTGTCCTTAAGGAAGTAAAGTTAAACAACAGAGCACACTGAATATACTTCGAGGAATTTTTTATTTCATAACAACCCTGCAAACCATCCTTTCCAAGTAATCTAAATATATGGTGATCCATCGAGACATTTTTTTTAATTTTAAATAAAAAATTTAAAACAGAAATGAACGTCGGAATCTTAATTTTCGCCAGAAAGAAGAATTTTAAAAATAATTTCATAAAAATTTTGGCCGCGACTTCGCTGTAGGTGGTCCATTCGGAAGGCTCCAAAGTTTTGAATCTTAGCTGGCTTATCAACAAAGACTTTTGCCTTCATATAACCCAAAGACAAAATCCAGAGGTGTTATATCACACGAAAACTTGCTGTGAAGTAATGCTGCGATGTGACGATTTTTTTTTTGAATTCTCTTTAAGAAATCGTACAGAAATTTTTTTACGAGTTGGTGTCAATCACTTCATATAATTTTCTTTTTTACGCGTAAAGAAAAACCCAAAGCACATCCATATAAGTAAAAATCCCGTGTATTTTGTCATTGATATTCTGTACTTAAGGATGTCAAAACGAAGGAAAATAGCAGATAGTTTTCGTCATTTCGTTTGGCTGATATCCTAGAGTTATCTCCTTTTTGGGTGTTATTGTTTCCGACAGGGTGGGTGTATGATGTATTTTGGAACGAATTTCCGTTATCCCTTGTCGTTCTCCGAACGAAAAATGACACTGAAGACGGCACAACGCCGAAACCGGTTTGTCTCCAAACCAAATTTGGCAAGGGATACCAGAAATTCGTTCCAAAATACCTCATCCTAGAGTTACGCTATTTCGTCTTCGATGACATTCTGCTGTGCTAGAAAATAAAAATCTAATCAGCTGTTCTAGTAACACCACTTTGTATAGATGCACCTTGACAAAATCATTCAAATATTTCCCACGATCCCATTTACATTTAATTTTCATTGAAATTTTCATACAATTTGCGCTATAAATCGGTTATTACTGGGCGTATCTTGGATTTCTCAATTTCTCCAAAGATATAAGATTATTCGCACAAGCGCGAGAAATCCAAAAGCGTTAAATCCTAGGATCTTGGGGGCCAAGTTACATCGCTGATTATTGAAATCACGATTCTAGGGAATTTTTCGTGCAATAGAGCCATAACTGTCGGCATTGTGTGGCATGTAGCCCCGCCTTATCATCTAGATCAAAATCTTTAATTTCTAGCTAAAAAAATTTCATTGGTGATGGCGACTAAAAATTTACGTCAACGGCTGCTACTTCATCGGAAGTAGGCTATGCTTTCAAATGTATGAGCAATGATCGAACTACTTGAATTCCTTCATGGCAAGAAGAAGAAACCCAAGTTAGGAGGAGTATAAAATTTTATGTTACTCACTAACTCAGGGCAGTCATATGTATATGGAGTGAAAGAATGGTACTTTCCGCCCTTCTAAGCCTAGCCTAACCGAGTACATAATATCAAAAATTTCCAGTTTTGATTTAATGTCAGATATTATGCCAAAAAGTCATACTAATGAATTGAAAACTGCTAAAGGCTTTTAGTTATTGGGAGCTATCACCACCAAGAGGCTTCGCCTAGACTTCCAAGATTTATACAAACATAAAATTTGATGGCTTGGCTTTAAGTCCAGTCACCTTGGCCGGTAAACGTAGGAGACCATTAAAATCAGAAATTCAATAACCACCGCACGCGCACTGAGAAAAGAGTTTAGTTACATCAACTAAATATGTTTCTCTCAACTAAATATGTTTCTCTCAACACAAGGTTTGGAAGATATAATAGAGACGAAGTACCTCAAAGTAATGACTTAACCCCTTTTAGCGCTTTACGTTATTTATGCTTCAACTTGTTTCTAAACAAATATTGCTTCGAAATCTCTTGTGAATTCATTTAGGTATAAGGTATCTTCTTTTGATAGAGAACTTTGGTCAGAGGCGCTTCTGAAGAAAATGGATCACATCTCTTCTGCACCGTTGGTTCAAAACTATAGGAACCGGAAAATTAATTTGCCTACCCATTTACTTTATTGTCTTTCAAGCTAAAGTTTCTGCATTTCAGTAGGCGGTTGATGTAACAATATCTTCATTTACTCATTCAGTAAAAACGGCACTTAAAACATTTAACACGGCCACATTCAATTCAAAAACCATAGCGTACTATCGCAAATCTTTAAATGGGATGGCTGAGCAAATTTAAATGATGTTTCCACGGCAAGTGATTCGCTCTCTCATTCGTAATTGGCGCCCCAATTATCAGAGTTGCCAACGAAATAAATTTTAATAACTTTCTTCTCTTCATTCAATGTCTTGAACAATAATCTGGTTCGGAGATGAACCTGTACAATGTTTTATATTCTGATCGGCGAAAGGTCTACGGACACTGAAAGTAAAATGTCGAAGAATTCAAACTATTTTCGAACCAATCGAACCATATTTGCAAATTCAGACTTCTTATCGATGGTATCGACCGAAAGCAAATTAACCCAAAATTTTTTTAACCGCCCATAAAGAGTACACGGACAAAAAAAAATTAACCAATTCGAGGAAAATGAAACTCCTGATGATAAGACTGACTTTATATTTTGAACCAAAATTTCTTCATTTAGTTTTCAAATCCGGCAACTTTTAATAGAACCGTCAATAATTTAAAACATTCTCTAACCTAACCTAACCTACATAAATAATTGTTTAGCATTGATACAATTTTGAACTTGGGCAACCATTTCAATTGTAATATAAAGATCAAAAAAAAAGAAAAAAAAAAAATTGCCTATACAATTTTTTCGAATTTCCTTGAGCACAAACAAACACAACAAAAAAGACAGCTCACGTAGGACAATCGATTCTAGAGCTATGCTTGGTATTACGGAAGCAACTTTGTTTTATACATATATATATATAGAGATTTAAATTTTTAAATAGTTGGCAATCCTCTTCAAAAATCTTACTTTAGGTTAACTTAACTTGCACTACCTGAATACGTTGCAATATTTTACTCGATATATTTTTTGGGTCACTAATATTTTAAGCAGGTGGCAATTCTATTAAAAAGTTTTTATTTTTCACCTCAACCACTGAAGATGTTCTTTAAAAATTATGTTTCAATCATTTAATTTGATGGAGTATTATGGAAGATATGGCAAAGGGAAATTCTGTGCTTGTTTCTAAAAATGTATGGCAGAAAAATCATCTTCTCTGCCCTCTGCAGGACTGAATGTAAAATCAAACATCCTTTGCACTTTAGGAGGGCAAACTTTTTTGGAATAAACGAAAATAACATTATATATAAAGGCTTTATATTTCAATTAAATAGTTTTGTTTCTCTCTCTCGTTATTTAAAATATTACCTTTTGCCTAAATGGTAAGTAGTTTGATGTAACTTAGGAAGGCTTTCACAGAGTTATGCAAAACTATCTTCAAAAGTGCTTAGATTATACATATACTAATGTACGTAAGCTTATAAATATATGTACATACAAACATTTATAAATTCATCTGGTACATGCACATAAATATATAGTATGTATAGTAGCAAATACGCAAACGTGCGTGTAATTGAATGCTCCAGATTTTTGAGATTTTTGCAGTCAGAAAAGCAAAGCTAAATGTGAAAAAAATTCTATTCAATATAAAAGCGCAACTAATGTGAAAATGCAAAAGTGCATGAAAAATATGAGTTAAGTCACAGGTATAGCAGAAGCATAAGCGCTAAATATAGCAACTGAGCGTTTGGTAAAATTAAAAAATAAGAAATCATGTCGAATATGCAATCAAAATCGAAAGCAAGTATGCAATTCTTGATACTTTTTTCCTGGAAAGCAGCAATTTTACACCTGCCAGGTTGGCTTTTAATGTTGCTGCCACTGTTGAGTTCATATATAAAGATGTATGTATTTAGAATTTTTTCTCAATTTTTTTCCTCTTGCTCCCCTATAAATATAATAAAATAAAATAAATAATAAAATTAAAGAAAAATTAATATATGGGTTCTTTATTATAGTAATAGAAATCAAGTTAAAAATTTTTAGAATTTTTGTCAGTATGCATGAAATTGAATGGAGTTTCCACCGTTGTATTGCTAGAGGTCAAACTTTAAATATAGAACAAAAAAATCAGAGAGTTGCCACTTGTTTCAAAGTTGCATTTCAAATAAATTGATATAATAAACTAATATTGTAGCATGGCTGTAAAAAAAATTCAAGAAAGCGTACAGCTGAAAATACTTTGGTGGAAGGTTGTGGTTTAATTTAATTTATAATGTAAATTAAATATTACAATATGTGTATCGAACTATG